ATATATATATATATATATATATATGTATAGGCCTAGGCCGGGGCGACTTGGTTAGGAGGCCAATTTGTAGGGAGTGACTTAGTAAGGGGCGACTTGACAAGGGGGCGATTTGACTGGATCCCAATGTAACCGAACACATATATTGAAACGAGCCGAAGGAAATTGTTAAACGAAGCGTATAGCCTATTATGGAAAGCTTCCTAATTGACCAATAGAATATTAACTATACTGTATTGGTATACAATAATTGACATCACAGAGACTTTTGTTTCCCTTCAGCAATTAAAATCATGTATAGTTAATTATTATCCTCCTCCACTAACAATAGGCCTAGTCTTAGCAAAGTGCAGGCGGACCTACTTTAACTTCAAAGGACTGCAACTTTTGCACTATCATCCAATTTCCATTTTAACCACAATCCGGGTTCCCCTTTAATATTTTAAGTATCTCACCTGGATCTGGTCACCTTTGTACTGTTTCATCCGCAGTCACAAAATAAACAATTTATTTTGCAAAATAGCTTTAACAAATCTGAAATCAATACTCTCAGATTTAACTGACATAATAGAATTTTTAATTAAAGAAAAACCGTGTGATTACATTGATAAAAGTTGGGTTAGACATCAAGTAATGGTTTAAATCTCTCAAGCATAACTTTATTAATTTCCGGATTCTGTTCGCAGTTCTTTAATGCAGTACGGTATTCATTAAGCTGCATGTCGTGAGAAACAAAATACACAAAATTAATAAATAATGGTTCTCGAAACTTTTTTTTTTTTTACACGTATTTAAAATAGTTGTGGAAATACTGTATTAATGATATAGACTACTACCACGTAAATCTATAAAATCTAATTTATTTTTGAGTAAGTTTTTTCTTTTCGACTTTACGGGTGGCAGCCAGTGACGGCGACAGCAAATATGTACACACACACACATATATATATATATATATCCAAGTAGATTAAAGTAAGTTGCTGTAGACAGATTTATATAAAATAAGAAGTCAACCAAAGTTCTCTGTATCTGTATCAAAATAAAATATTTATTGTACTAGTGCTTTCGAACATAGGTCATCATCAGGTACTCAACTTTATACCTGATGATGGCCTATGGTCGAAAGTACTAGTACAATAAATATTTTATTTTGAGACAGATACAGAACTTTGTTTGAATTCTTATTATATATAAATAAATATATTTAATACAGTATATAATACATATAATAATAATAATAATAATAATAATAATAATAACAATATCGAGCATTATTATATATATATACACTTATAAAATTCGCATTGGATTATGACGTCCGGTCCGTAGATTGCATAGAGAAATTGTCCGCTATACAACCGTTACCATATGTATAATACTGCCATCCATTTTTTTTCAACCATTCTCCAAAGGTGACCTAGGTAATGTCACATTTGGCATAAATATACAGAATCGTATTAGATATACGTCAATATGCCTATATATTATGTATTTTTATTGCTCCTTGTATCTCTTGGCAAAAGGCGTGGTATAAAATTCCTGTATCATTAATAAAATTGTTAATGAATAATTCTTTATTGCTAAATATTGTGAAAATTCAGAATACAGTGGTTCTCAGATAAGTTTGAATCTCTAGGTGGGCATAAAATTGATGAATAGTGTATTTTTTGTAAGGCAACTGTCGGAATCATTTAAATGTAGGTTACCCAATTCTGTGTGCTGATTTTCGAAATAAGAAGTTTTACTGGAGGTTAGGATACTTGCCACTCGCGTTACCAATCTGTTAACATTCTGTGTCGTAATGGAAATGGAAATCGACATGTATAGTGTCTTACACAATTAAAATCGTCTCAAAGTGCTTAAATGAAATACAAAATTTATTTATTTATATAATTTATTTATTTAAAACATATTTATAAGGCAGGATAACATATACAGACGAGATCTTAACGCTGTTTTACAATATAGTCCTGCAATAACTGTACAGTAAACAACAAACAAGAAAGCAACCAAAATAGAAAACTACCGTAACTTTCTATTCTGTAAGTGGCTGGCGGCGGGCCATTCGCTGTTGAATGCAAATTGAAAAATAAAATAAAACCCATAAACTATTCTAAAACTAACCAGTAACTGTTAATACCAAAGTAATCAAATGAGACTACGAAGAGCTTAATTTAATCATATTGATAAATCATTGAGCACAATATAATTATAATACATGGATAAAGGATAGAAATACTGAAAGAGTTGTTAAAAGGAACAATTAACACAATGATAACGATTATAGGAATTACGAAAATGACGTACGAAGGGCCCTGGCTCTTACTGAGGCTTCGGGCTGCGCCTAATATATATATAATGGTATTTTATTTAAAATTCAAAAAATCATAAAAAGCATGAAACATGGCAGCCAAAAAGGCTGAATTCCGAACAACATCAAAATAGGAAATTTACATTAACATAACATAAAATATCTGCTTTTGGGCGATCACTTTTTTCTTTTTCTTTCTTTCTTTCTTTTTTTTTTTTTTTTTTTTCTTTTTTTTTTTTTTTTTTTACCTTCCGGCCCGCCCCACCCATCTAAATCCGCCCCTGTACAGGGTGTATTTTATGGGTTTTTTTTTTCACGTTCTGCTCATTAAAGGGCCTTGTTCAGTCCATGGTCCTGGATAAATTATTGCCGCTTAATAATATCTTGGGAACCTTAAGGCCCGGGGTTTGGCATTAGCCGATGAGAGCTCAGGTGTTACACCACTGTTAAGTGAGATTAAATATATATGTGTGTGTGTGTGGGTGTGTGTGTGTGTGTAGGCCTATATATATATATATATATATAGGTATATATTTTAAACGGAAAAGTAGAGGAAACTGCTAAAAAATCGCTCCAACCGTGGCTCGAACTGGAGACTTTCTGCTGTCTGTCTATGCAGGCCTATAAATAAGGGGCCTATATTTATATGTAAAAGGAAAAATAAGAAGTAGTTGCTTGGCAAAATGTATAGATATATCAAATAAAATTCGGGAATAAGGTATACATTTTCCAGATTTTATTAATAAAGATATATCCACGTGTGTTTCGAAACATATAAAATATAATACTGTTTAACGGTAATGAATACTCAGATACGTAATATGTTGACTCTAGAAATACTAACATTTATTGTAACATTTCGAATACAGTACAGTAGATTGACATTATATTTGGGTGTAAAATTTGTTCAAGCCTTGTAAGTTAAAGCGTGGTTAAACAATATCTATGCCTTATTATAATTATGGTTGTGTTTTGCATAACACATGGTTTTTAGATTTATGCTAATGGCTTATGAAAGATCAATGCACCGTAACATAGACGATTGTTATATGTTTTTAATGGTCATAAGGAATACAATATTAATTGTGGGTCAATGCATTGACCTACAATTAAATAACCACATATTAACTGTACAGCTTCGCTTTATTTTGAAAATATGCCATTTGCAGAGTAATATGTCTATTATAAGAGAAATTGTTCACTTTTGAACTCAAATCTACCTGGTCAAGGGCTAGAGGGGACTTTGTCAGAACTACTTGACTTTTAGAAATATGTTAGTTATTTTGTGAAGTTAAATAGCTTACCTGTATTCCCACGGATTTTGTTCACACCGATGTACAATATATAATGCATTTAGGGCCTATCATTAATTGACAGAAATCAAATACGTCGGTTATTATATTGGCTTCCAATCAGCATTGTTAATTTTCATAAGCAAAAAAAGAAGTCCCGCTTGAGTAAAAATAAGCTACGGTAGGCCTATATCATACGCTCTGTCTGATATCCCCGAGCCAAAAAATGAACGCTAAAATAATCACTAGTAAATATATTTTTCCTCGATTATGTGTTTCCTCTAGGCCTTTAAAAGAAAATACATTTGACTCAGTCCTACTTCCGGCATTGCCGAAAGGAGAGCACCGGTGGTCGTAAACAACCTGTCTCGAAAAAGTCAAGTCGGTATATATAGGTCGGATGTAGTTTCTTATAAATCGACCCCTTGACCCATTTAAACAAATCTTTCACTTTCAAGCCAAATGCTTTTTAATGTTAATACCGTTTTACTTTAATGTTTTAAAAAGTCTAACATGATCCTGGTATAAATCATACGGTATCGTTCTTTCTTTTCCCCGTATCGTCTACGATGAAGATGAAATTCAGGCCGATGCTTCTGAAAGTTCATAACTTCATAATTATCAGGGGCGGGTCCAGAATTTTTCAAACGGGGGCACAACATTTTCAGAATAATATGTGAGTATCGCTTATATATAATATTGATATGCATTGAAATTTTAAAATTTAATGGCAAAAACGGGTGGGGGCACTTGCCCAACGTGTGCCCCTTGTGGGTCCATGCCTGATTATAGTCACTAATGTGACAAAAATAAAATCTGCGAACATTTATTGGGTTGATTCATGATTATCCGT